CCCAGGCCACTGCCTAGCTCTCCCTGATGAACCTTGGACTGATTTTCAGCGCCCCTTGATGGAAAAATGCTGCTGCCCAGCATTCTAAAGCCGCCCAGCGTAGTAGAACTGAAGCTGTCCAGCGCAACTGAGCTGTCCGGACAGTAGAAGCAGCAGCCAGGCTACTGCCAGCGCGCCTGGGCTGTCCAGGACAGCAAGGCCAGCGCCCAGGCAGCTGCCCAGCGTGCCTGGGCTGTCCAAGACAGGAGGAACAGAGGCCAGGTAGCCGCCCAGCCCCTCACCGCGCGTGCGTGCTGCGCAGCTGTGCTCCCAGCCGCTTCCCTTGGCTGCCCAAGCCACTCCTCGCGCTGCCCATCTCCCCTTCGCTGTCCAGCCCTTCATAAATCCTCCACTGGGGTTCTTCAACCTCCACCACTCCCTCTTCAATCGACATTGTTTACTTGAGAAGCTCAACTAGCAAGGAAGAAATCACACTCTTGAAAGGATTCAAGGAGAACACACTTTGTCTTCAACAAAATGGGTAGGACTTGAGTTCTCAAGGTTTTCAAGAGGTGGGTGCTCAACCTTAAAAATGAGTGAAATGGGTAACATGAAGAAGAAAACTATATTTATAGTTTTAGGTTTTTCAAAAAGAGGGAAAAAGCTCAAATAGAATATTATGGGTCCTCTTCAAAATAAAGTGGGAAAGACTTGAAGTATAAATAATAATAATAATAATAATAATAATAATATAGTTAATGCCTCCTTCTCCAAGTCTCATTGGACATGGGGCATTGGGGGGCAAATGATGGGTTAAACCCAAATAGTCCAATTTATGTGTTAAAGTCCAACCCCAGTGGAGGAGCCCAACCTCATTTTGAATCTACCAAGCCCAAGACAGTCCAAGACCAGTTAGACTTTTTGCTTAGCACGTCATCAAGAGGAGAGCATGGGAAACTTATCTGCACTACCGAAGGAAACGGTCCAATCTTTGACCGCGTTTCATGAAGAGCTCCCTAACCTCCTCCTTTCGTTGAGGATAAGTCATGATCTCCACCAGAATAATCTCTTAGCTGCGATAAAGTAGCCTTGAGGATAAGTCATGATCTCCACAAGAATGATCTCTTAGCTGCTATAAAATAGC